TCCATTTCCAGCCTCAGTGCTTAGCAGGTGTGCTGGGTCAGGCACGCTGAGAGCTGCGGGAAGTAATTAACAGCCATGGTCTGAGCCTCAAAATGGCTGCATGGGGAGGCAGCTATTGAATGAGGGGCAGTTCTAGGTGCTGATATGGATGCTGGATTTGGGGCGATGTGGCTGAAGGTAGGGAGCGGTTCCCAATCACGTCGGCCATGAAGTCTGAATGTGAGGGGCATGTGAAGCTCTAGTACCAGTGAAAATAAGAGGTGCTGGCTCCCTGTTCAGTGGTGTGCTGTAAGGAGCATCATTCAGTGCTTGCATTCACCAGTCTTTTTGATGGATAGAGTGTCTATTTGTGAAGCAAGAAAAAGCCGCTAAATTCACATGGGGTTCTAGAACAATCTTCTCAGTCTCTGGCCATGTGACTTTGGGTAAAGCCCCTGTCACCTTTGAACACTTGTATGAGGTTCCTATGACCACTGTACATGGGAGTCAGGCTGGATGCTGTAAAGGTCCCTGCGTGCTCACAGTCCAGGTTACAGGATCCTGGGCCTCTGGTAAAACACCCTCAATGGGAACGGTGTTGCCTCAATGGGACAACCCCTAAGTCTCCCACATGGGGAGCCTCTCCATGGGTGAGAGACATTCACAGATGACCCAACTCTGCTTGGAGGCTTCATGATAGTGACTGGGATTCTGGAATAAAGGGGAGTTCCAGATAGACCCACAGTGATCACCCACTTTTGGGCATATCCTTCCAGCGGGGCTGCCAGAGTGAACAGTGAGTCTGGGCCTCTCAGGATTTCCTTCTCCTGTGATGTTTCTGAGGCTGAGATAAAGCAGCACCTTCTCTACTCCCTGCCCTCAGTGAGTTTCCTCCACTAGAGGGAAGAGAATGAGGCTTCAAGGGGAAGAACCGTTGCCTGCTTTGTTCTGCAGCTGCCTCAGCACCCAGCGCAGAGCCTGGCTCATAGCAGGTGCTCAGTGGGTGTCACTAAGGAGTAGTCTCAGCCACATTGAGGGGAGCACTCCCTGGAGGTGGGTGAGGTCTGGCCTTGTGATGGGCAAGGCTTTCAGC